CAAAATGATTAATGTACATAATTTTTAAAAAGTCAAATACAGACAAAATTCTTCTCTAGTCATTACATTCCTAATTACTGCTCCCCCAAAACAACCTTAATTACATCCATGACAGTTACTTCTGCTCTCTATTTTTCATCCAAATTTTCTTCTGGTATTTAAATCTCTTTTTCTATACAGGATGTATAGGGTCATTATGGGACTACTTGATTTTTTATATCCATTGAAGAGGATTTAGTTCTCTGACAATACACATACACTCACACACACATACATACTTCCCCCATCCTTCCAGTATAATACAATTTCATATTCAGTTTTTATAATTTAATTATTATGATCTGCAGAGCTATATGGTATGCTATGATTATATTTCCTTTCTTATACAATATTTTGTTTTCCCAGGAATTAAGAATTGCCTCATTTTGTTATTGTTCTTTTTTCTCCCTCTCAGTTTTTAATGTTCCTATATCATCACCAAACTCTCTTTAAAAGGAACTATAAATGTCTCAATAGATTCAAACTATCAATTTTAAGTTTTTTCTTGGTCACCCTTCCTGATTTAGACTGACTGATCTTTAGTTTAATTGCATAGGGTTCATTATGGGATTCTTCTTTACCATTATTCTCAGAATTCCTTTACCTCCATTCTGTGTTTGAACCCTTTTTTTCCTGGATGGCTTGTGTATCATTCATAATGGCCTAAGTTATGCTGCAGTAACAAACGACCCCACAATCTCAATGGGTTACAATGACAAAGGTTTATTTCTCATACACTGTACATGTTCATCATGGGTTACCTTTACCTCTGTGCCATGTTATTTTCGTTCCAGGACCCAGGCTGACACAGCAGCCTCTACCTAGAATACCGCTAGTCATCAAAGCAGAAGAAAAAGAGAGATGATGAATCATGAGCTAGTTCTTAAAGTATCTGCTCAGAAGTGACACATTTCACTGGTCAAAGCAATTCATACAGCCATATTTGAATTCAAAAAGGTGACCATATAATATCCTCCTGGAGCGGTTAGTGGGGGTGAGGGGAAACCAAATCGTATAGTCAAGTTTGACATCAACAGAGCAGCGATAATAAACTCTGCAGGGAGGCAAAGTTAATAACTGTGAACAATAAAGCTACATAGCATATCTTCTTCTTTCTCGTCTACTCCATCTTTTTCATGAAATGCATCCACCACCCTTGTGGGTTTATGTCTTTTTTTTTCCCCTTTACTGTCATTTCCATAGTTTCAGGAAGTGTTCAATCTGCCATGTTCAACCAAAAGTCCACAATCATTTTAAAAGGGAACTTCCAAGACATGGTATATTGAAAGATAAGAGATATCTATAACTATCATTTTCATTCAGTGTACATACGTACTGTTTCCCATTATTTATAGCAGTTTTTCCCAGTTCCTACAAATATCAATAAAGAGTTTAAATTGCATTTCTTTTTGAATACAAACTATCCAATATGTTAAACTCACTTTAAAACCGAGGAGTTTTCTAAAACGGCTTTGATCCTAAATACCTTGATTTTGCCTTTCCTGATTTGCTCTAAGCTCCAGGCTTGTCTTTGATGAAATCAATCAGTTCAAAAGGTTTTCATTCTAATTCTGTAACCACAGACAATGATATATTCAGCCTGTCGGCCTAGCTCTGAAATCTACCTGTCATTGCTGTCTATAACTTATCTTAAATATTATGATATATATTTGGAAAAATGTATTTCTAAAATGTATCTCCATATACCAAAATCTTATTTAGTTGTGAAATGGAAAATGCAGCAAAGATTAGTAAAGGGGAATGATATAAAGAAAAAAAAAGTCAAATCCAGCTTTATGTTACATCAGTTTTTGGTAGTCTCCTCTCTAATAACTGCAATATAATAGATTTGCAACTTTTTAAAAAAAGGAACTTGCTTTTTTAACTTTGGAGTGTACACTAAAAAGATTAAGTATTTCTTAAAAAGTAAACCTTGCTCAAACACATCACTCATGTGTTAGTACTTTCACTGCTTGAACCTGAGGTTTTGAAGTTAGGCTTTCTCATTTCAAATGCTGTTTCTATCTCAAAATCATCATGGGCTGCAGTAAGTACTTAATCCCTTAACCTCAGCTTCCTCATTTATAAAACAAGAATAACAGTATTTCCAAGAAAAAGTTATAAGGATTAAATAACCCATGTAAAGCCTTGACATAGTACCTGGCAGGCAGTAAATGCTCAGTAAATTGTTGAATAAGGGAATTTTTTGTCCTAACTTTTAAAAGTGATCTTATCTACTTTTAAAGCTTATATGAGTCAAATCCTATTACAACCAAGTTTAAAAAACTATAAATCCTTTACTATAACAACAGCATATATTTTGTTTGGTCAAAATTCAAAGTTATTTATTAAATATCTTCTAATTAAATGAAGAAAGGTTGAGGTATTTACTTATTTTGCTCTTCTAAATTCATCCAGTTCAAGAGTGGGATACCTATTTCCTTAGGACTAATTTTTTTTTTTTACCTAGTGAATCTAAAAAACTCCATGAGAAAATTCACCCTCTGTCTACTTGAAATGTCCAAATATGGCCTATGTCATATATAAGCCAAAGTGAAATACCAAGAGAGATTCTTCAGTATACAGATCTTGAGGGTAGAGTCTTAAAAAACCAGTCCTCAGTAAGCTGTGTTCACTGTCCAAAGGATGATGAATGAATCTATAGTCATCAGAGAACATGTAAACCATCTGTAATTATTATAAAGTATTTGAATTATTTAAAAACATTGGGATTTATTTGAGACTCTGAAAGCAACTGGGGTAAACGCCTTTTCTGAATCATTGATGTCAGACATTGAAAAGGCTTTTTACAAATGAACTAAACTAAAACCACTGACTGTAGCGGCAAAGGCAATCAGTACTAGATACTAAGAAGGAAATAAAACAAAACAAACCATAAAATAAACACATCTCTTCCCTTCCATTCTTTCTTATAGAAAATCACTAGAAACATTTTAATATGCATCCCAAAGTCTGCCTTCAATTTGCATTCATGTTAATAGTGGAGAGAACAGTACTTGTAAAAAAGCAATGAAACTGAAATCAGAATTTGTGGGTTTCTGTCAAGTCTGTCACCTCACTAAGCCTCAGTTTTCTCATCTGCAAAATGGCATGAAAATATTTACCCTACGAAGTTGTGATTATGAAATATGGTACAATAAATGAAAATGACTAGAACAGTGCTGTTCAATAGAAATATCAGGTGAACCACAAATGTGAGCCACATATGTAATTTTAAATAAAAAAATCAAGAGAAGCAGGTGAAATTAATTTTAATATATTTTATTTAACTCAACATATTTAAAATATTATTTCAACAGGTAAATCGATATAAAATTATTGAAATTTTTTACATTTTTTTTCTGTATTAAGTCTTTAAAAATCGGTGTGTATTTTACACTCATTGTACAGCTCAATTCTGAGTAGTCGCACTTCAAGTGCTCAATAGCTTCATGCAGCTAGACTACAACAGTAGGCAACATTGGCCTAGAACAGAGATGAAGTGTAATATAAGTTTATTAGATCCAAATAGTATTTCCTATCAAATAAAGTTTATAATTTTATATTTTTGGTATAGAACATGATATAATATATAATATTGTAATAGGAACTTAAAATATTATCTATACTAGACCAAGTATTTATCCCAAATAAAAGCTACCAAAATGATTATTATAAGTCACTAATATTCATTTATTTTATATTTATGTATGTGGTTATTTTATTAGGATTTGAATTATATACTAATTTGAAATAGAATCTAATAATCTCAAAAAAGAAAATAAAACCTAACATTACTATAAGCATACAAACAATTCAAACTACAAGCTACAACTGATTAAACTATACCTTCCAGCAAAGAAATAGGAATAGAAAACAAAATATCTATCCATATTACTAAATTTATCACTTTATGAGACCTACCATTAGTAAGTCATACTAGTTTTAATAGCTTTCATTTATTTCTCATAAAAATTTAAACATTTTCTAAATAGGATGACCACCTATCATGATAACTTAATTATATGTGAATGTAAGTAAATATAGCATTAAAATGATGTCATATTTACTTCAAAACAATTCATTGGGGTTAAAAATTAAATATTACTTGTATTACATTCATTATTAAGATTACGCTGAATAATATACAGTAGGCAAATTGTTGTATATTGAGCTCAAAGAGTGGGGGAAAATGTATGAAAACATTTAATTGCAAGGTCTTTTTGAAAGTTATCTTATATATTTATTAGTATGCTCTCATTTTCTGTATATGGAGATACCCCTGCAGTTTATATATTTTTCATCAACTTTTCTCTGGGCTGCCTACAGTCCAACACAAGTGGTCAGATAAGATACGAGAGTAAAATAGAGACAGAACATTGGATAGGTGATTGCTACCTCATTTTAAATCTGACAGGGACCATTTAGTTACCTAATATAACTTCAACTTTACAGTGTTACGAAATTCTTAAAGACCAAAACTCTTTGGACTTTTATTTTTCATTAACTATATAATCAAAAGATGGCACTTCTAGAATATCAGCAGTCTCCCTCAAACATATTAACAGAAGGCTCAGTCAGAAATGACACACACGAAAAAAGCGCCACCAGCTGAATCATTACTTCTGTGTTCCACAGCACCACCTATGTCTCCCTCTGCAGACTCCTGACCAGAACTCCTCACCCAGCCCTGCCCAGGCTTAGAAGCTTGGATGGGTTCACACTATAAAGTGGTCTCACGGCAGTAGACAAGAATTTCAATATTTGCATCCCCATATTCACATTGTTTTCATTTAAACTTTCCCAAAGAAGAAGCTATTCCCTGAATGCGGCATGCATTTCCCTGGCTAACCAATGCTGACTCCTAGGCTCACTGATACTAAACACAAACACATGTACAATTTTAAATATCTGGCCAAAATGCAGAAATAAAACTATCCAATGCGTTAAGAAAGACTCACATCTGGCATTTCTGTAGAGAAGGAAAGGGTCCTGGAGCTGGAAATCCAGGTCTTTAGTAATGGGTTCTGTCCTATTTTCCATGCTCAGCCTATTCATAATGGTGAACCCATGTTTTGGAGAAGCAGACCTAAGAATCACAAGGGGTAGGGAGGATATCAAAAGACAAGTTGTTCAGGACGGTACACTTTTAGTATAATAACTACATTCCTATGTGTCTTTAACCTTTTTTGTATGTATGTACAGCTTCGTACAAGCAGATTATACACATATAAAGCAATGATTGTTCACTAATGGCTAACGGCACTAATATTACTAATTTATGTAACGCGTGCAGTATGATTGTCATTACTGATTCTTTGGTAAAATCAAGTCCTACTTACTTAATTGTGTGTGTGTGTGTGTGTGTGTGTGTGTCTTGTTTCCCTACCTAGGTTGTAAATTCCTTTAAGGCAGAGATGGTAATTACTATTTTAAAAAGAACTAACAGATATCTTTAAAGGATCTTGATAGTTAATATAAAGTGTACATCACAAGTACATAAAGAAATTTTTCATAAAAAATCTTGGTGTTGGTCTGAAGTTGAAAGATGCAAAATGTTTTAGAGAAATAATGCAACTCTGGTCAATGAACTTGTGAAGAAATACAGTATGATAAAAGTTTATACAATTTAATGCAAAGAGCAGATATTTTGTTTCCTTTAATATAAAGCAACAGATTCATAGATAAACTATAAAGTTTTCCTCCGTAAAAATGTGGCATTTAGTGACTATTTTCCATTTCATTCAATAAACCTTCAGTACTACTTGCTGTCAGACAAAAAGAACCAAAATTATAGAGCATAAATTCTAACAACTACATGTGCATTTGTCTACCCTTGGGTGACAGCCATACGGCAATTCAACAATGCAACTTATGGTGACAAATGAAACACCACATGCTTACACATTGAAAGTAAAAGAAACAGAATTCATTTACTAACTCTAAACTAGGGCACCAGGGTAACAAACCCACAGAAATGTTATGAGCAATAGGAAGAAAAGGTATTTTTATCTTAGTTTTATTTCACCTCTAACCATTTGATGCTGATAAAGAAGTAAAATACAGCTACAATTACCACTTATCCTTTTGGGCCCTCCAATTTAAAATATGACAGAAGGCAATCCTTGCCTAATTTGTTTTACAAAGAGGTAAAGTGGTGGTAGGCATATAATCAAAACCAGAAATAATCATGTTAACCATTTCAACTTAAATTCTGAGAAAGAATGAAAATGGACTTCCAAAGATCTCTGACAGAGGGTCCTTTGGAAGTGTCAAGTTCAGAAATCACCAGTGGGTGTCTCTATGAACATGGGAGGAAATAAAGAACATAATTTTTAAAATAGGATTAGGTGTTTTTATACGGAATCAGAATTTGACTCTTCAAGTATTTCATTATCACAACAGGATCTCACCTCTCTAATAGTGTGGGTACTATACCATCTTATAAAATAGGCTCGGGATATCACTGACAGCTCCATTATCTGTACCTAAAAACTTCCTTCTGATCTTTATGAGCTCTCTGTCATTCTCTACAGAGGAAAGACCTCAACATACCAGAATATGGCAGAGGGGTGGAAGTTGGCCTCCCTGAAGGAAGAAGGGAGGGGGGAGGAAGGGCTCCTATTCTTGAGGACTTAGATATGAGGAAGAAATTAAGAATAGGGAAGAATCTATTTCTCAATTTAATGATTTGTTTAACTGACAGCTCCATTATGAACTCAAATTAGGAAGTACTTGAAAATACAAACCTACATTTGGTTTGGGTACAAAAGAGAGAATGCTCATACAGTCTGTTTTACTCTTCTGTACTGGAAAAAAAATTAACCCTACTAAAAATCCCTCAAATTAGTCATTAATGCACATTAACATATCTTTTCTTTTACTTCTCAAAAGAGTAATATTTGCGAGAAATAAATGAGAATGCATAGTGAGCTTGTCCCACAGTAGAGTTCAATCATTTGGTTTTCTTTTCACACTTCAGAATTCTCAAGAGTAGTCTATACTCTACTGAATAAATTCACTTGGTGGTGTGTTCAGATGCTTCTAGAATGTTTTGGAACATAATGTAAACTAAAATAGCCAGTGACTCTTGGGCACTCCCACTACTTTTCTGAAACTGAATAAACTGACCTTCTCCTTAGCTACTCCAATGGCCTTGCCCATCCTTTCCTTTCTTTCCACCCCCACTGCTGCTTCCACCTATACACAGACTTGTGCTCTCTCCAAACCGTTTTTGCGCTGTGCCTGCAACTGGCCTCTTTGTACTGTTCTAGTTCTGCTTTTATTTTTATGTCTGACTCTTCTCTGTATCCTTGCTGGCTCCAAAACCAACCATTAGCCTTCCTCTTTACACTTTCTCCTTCAGAGAACATGTTTTCTCTCATGGTTTCAATTACCAAATTAATGCAGATGACTCCAAACTCTGTATCTCTAGCCCTGACCCTGTTGTGAGTGGCTAGACATCGAATGCCCTGCTACCACTCCAAAATCATTATTTCAAAATAAAATGAAAATTTATCCTCAGACCAGATTCTTGACCTCCTATTTTTCCATTTTGCCAATGATTGTGTCATTCTCTCAGTCTTCCATTTCAAAATCTTAATGTTATTTTGAAAATTTCACCGTTCCCTCTATATATGCAGTCTTTCAGTAAATCCTTTCCATTTCAACTTTTATCTACTCCACTGCAATCATCTTCTCAATGTCCTTCCCTAACTCAACATCTTACAGAACCAATGCATCCTCATAATGCTGACACATCGACTTTCTCCACACATTTTGTCGTAATTCTATTACTCCAGTTTGTAAATCTCCAGTGACTCTATACTGCTATACTGCTAAGAAAATAAATTTCAAAATCCTCAGTCTGACATTCCAAGCCAACAAAATCTCTTTACCCTCACTGTCAACTTCTAACTAATATAAGCTAATATAAACTCTCTGTACCAGACTCATGTTACTGTCTTTATCGCAACAGATTCCACGCCTCTGCTTATGCCATGCTTGCTACTGAGACTGACCTTTCCCTCTCTATGCAAGTTCTACCTTGTTCTCGAGGCCTACTCGTGACTCAACAACTTTGTAAAGCCTTCCACAATCTCAGCAGCCCATTCGTTGCTTATAACCTATCAAGTGGCACTTCAGATAGCCTACCTACATTGTGGTTCAACTTTAACTGTGAGTGTACATGTGAAAAAATATACTTGTATACGTGTCTTTGTACCCCGATTGATGGTGATGGACTTTAGCTATGACATTATATGTGAATAAAAAGTTCATCTATTAAGACAATATGTCTTAATACTATATGTCTGTGTACATGTGTGATATTAACAATATCTCAAATAAATTACTAATAACATAAGCTTATTAAATTTATTAATAATTAATTTAAAGCATTTATTAAATCTAACCTGAAACATACTCTATTAACTAGACAATTGGAAGACTCAAAGACATCTTTAATCCTGAATCATGAGTCTTTAAAGAGTCAAGGACAGGGGTGTGGTAGGGAGACACCAATAAAACCCTTGATTGTTGATTAAATAACCTAATATTCTTCATAGGTTACTTCTAGTTCTTTGCCAATGCATTATATTCAAGAACTTTGTACCATTCATTTGAAGTAAAGAATATTGAATACTATTTTTAAAAGAATACAAAGATTTAAGTTCATCTATATTGAAGTTTAAGTTATATACTGAAGTTTAAATTAGTATGCCTCACACTATTCCAGGTGACATTACTTAGTATTCCCTTCCTTATGTCAACTAAAAACTTAAAAGATTCAGTTCTTTTACTTCTCTTTGAAATAAAAATACAATTAAAGAAGAATGACCGTCAGTTTCTTTATAAAAGTAAAACACTCATACCTTGTGTAAACAAATAAGGTTCCTTCCACATCAGTTTTCTCCTAAAAAATAAAAACAAAACACACAGTGAAATATGTATATTCTTTCCATCAATAATAAACATTCGCAGAGGTTAGAGAACATAAACTTCTTACAGAATAGGAATTCTACCTAGTTTCCAACAGGGCCAAACCTAGGCAACATCTAATCTAAGAGGG